CGAAACCCCGAGCATCCGAAGACACCAACCACTGCTCCACCTCCCTGTGCCCGTGCCGCTGCCAAGACCTGAACTGTCGCGCAGATGCCGAAGTTCCGGGAGTTGGGAAAATTCGAATCAAACCGTCAAGAGTACTAACAGGGTCGTTACATAAGCAGACCCCAGAAGGGAATCCGACAAATGTTAAGACACACACACACACACACGATGCAGAACTTAAATTGATTCCTACTTTCAAGAAGCCATACAGCTTGGCATAAGGCCTGTTTGCGACTGGGTGTGTGTGTGTGTGCGTGCTTGGGAGTGCATGGTTGCAATGAGCTTAAACGAGCGAAAAGGAAGATGCATGTCTCACCTGGCCAAGTGCGGCAAATGTGGAAACAACAACGATGGAAACGTGGTTGGATGCCTGTTTGCACTGATGCCTTTGCCTTAGACTCTTTGACAGAGCTTAAATCCATGTAAGACAAGCAGTTGCGACATCGAAGCAAGCAAAAACACAACCTGTCAGAAACCAGACGGACCTCTCACAGGCCAGCAGGGGTCAGAGCGATTTATGTGACAACCATCAGCTTCACCATGCTGCATGAACCACGTCAGCCACAAGTGAAGCAGGACTCAACATCACCCTAGTCGTTCTTTGTTATTAAAGTTATTAAGTCCTAAACCCTAAACCCTAAACCCCTAAACCCGAAAGCCTAAAACTGACTTCAAGCTCCCACTTCCTGAGTCCTCAACGTCCGTTTACTCGCATTCTGGAGCCGGCACTCGAAGTCCTGGAGCCTTAGACCTTCAAATGCCCTGGCATGCAAGGACCCCTCTGTTTTGGGGGCCTTCGGGTTCAGTGCCTTAGGGGGTTTGGGCTTAGGGGCCTTCGGGTTTAGGGTTTAGGGTACTTTAAGGGATCTCGTAATACGGCCCTTAAGCAATGGGTGCTCTTCGTCAAGGGTCAACATTTGAATCAAGAGGCTCGCCGTCGTCGACAAGCTTGCAGCACTTGATGCTCGAAGTTGGCTACCTGACAGGGAAAGCTTTGTATGTTCAGCACCTTCGATGTTCATTTCGAGCTTGGGGGTTGAGGCTTTTTGGGGTTTGGGTTCAAGGTTTCCTTGCATTTTGCGCCCGTGAAGCCCCTTTTGATTTCGGCCATTTTGGCCAGGGTCGCTGTCTGACTTTCGCAGAGCCTGATCTTTGCTGGATATCGCAGGCGCAAACACGAGGATTCATGCTCATGCTGTTGTCTCCTGAGACCAAACTGATGTCCAGTCGAAGCGCCCCACAACCCACGACCAAAAGCCCCTTGAAGCCTAAACCCCAAACCCCAAACCCTATACACATCTTTCACTTGCAGAACCGCAAGGCCTGAAACCCGACTCTGCAAACCCATCCCCGTCAGACGCAAGGGCCCTAGAGCAGCCTTGTAGGGCACCACCTAAACCATGAAACTTCAACTTATGGCCTGCAGGCATCACGGGTTCCTGAAGAATCCCAGACAACTCATAGAGGCGATCACCCCACGACTCTAAACCCCGAGCCCGTATCTGTTGGGAGAAGATTTGCGCAGTTCCTCCTAGTCCCTGCCTCTGCAGAGGCTGCCACTGGTGCACATTGACATCGTGTCTGTCATGCTTTGAAGATACTATGATTTCGTTGCTATTTCTGGTATATCACTAATGATATTGCTCCTGCTATTCGTGCCGCCACTGATAATGTCAATGTGGCCAGGTTACGACGCCGGGTGACAGTCAACAGGGATTTCTGCCAAAAGTCATGTCGTGGGCATCTTTGGATCTTGGATGTAGTGATTCTGCTGCTCAAGCCTAAGCTCTAGACCGAAAACCAAAACAAGGAACCGTAACCGCAAATACCAACCTAAACCCTAAAGCCTAGAACCCGCAAGCCTGAGACCCAAACCCCAACAGAAACCTTGAAGGAACTCTTATGCCACGAGAACACCGGATCGCCCTGCGACCGATGCCTCCCGGTTTAGAGTAGAGGCAGTCGGGCGCGAGGCGGCCAGCAAGAACGAGCTCCGGCTTCCTTGGGTCTGTGGCTACAGTACAGGGGTTGCGTCTGAATGGATTTTGTGGAAGCTTCCCTGGGTTTCTTGTGGGTTTACTGTTTAGGGCTTGGGAGACTTTTTTTGCTTTGTTGGGGAGGCTCGGGGGTTCTTTTTGCACCTGCTGCATCCTACAAGTGTTAGGCCGTCGCGCTCATAGCGAGAGTCGCCAACGATGCACAGTGAGTTGGGAGCAGGCTATCTATCCCAAGGAGCCCTACACACTATATAAGCCTTTCATATATCTTATCAGCAGACCTGAGTTTGATGGGTGATTCTTCCAACTGGCGGCTGGGGAGATCTTCATGAGGATACATATACGTCTGCACATATGTGGATGTATGAATCAACGTCCGAGCATTTACGGTCGATGTTAGGGGTCGCTCTGAGCTGAGACTCGGGGTTTGAGGGGTCTTCAGCTCATGCCCTTCGCCTTGGCGACCGCCAGAGAAGGATGCAACATCATGGTGGCAGCACCAGGGTGAACTTTGCTTTTTGACCGTCGGGGGGGGGTCATTGCAAAGATGTCGCTTGCATCACATCACACGCTCCATATCTGGCGATTTCTGGTTGCCAGAAAATGTCGTGGAAGGACAGAAATGACCAACGAATGTTTTCGAGCAAAGGATATTTCGATGCTACAGTCACGACACACGGAGCGTAACCACGACTTCCTTATGTCTACCTGCGCTGCCGGGGGCTTCAAGGTTTTAGGGTTGGGGCTGTCAGGTGTCAAGTTCCCAGAAACCCCTCAACACTAAACCCTAAGCCCCTAAATGCTTAAACTCCTGAACCCTGAACCGCTGAACCCCTCAACCCTAAACCCCTGAATGCTAAACTCCGGAACCCTGAGGCCCTCAACCTTCAACCCCTGAAAGCTAAACTCCGGAACCCCAAAACCCTAAACCCCTCAAAGCCCGGCGTCTCTGCAAACTCGCGAGCCTCCTGAAGGGCTCTCAATGCCGGCAGGCGCTGGCCCGGAATGGCTCTCATGGCTGGCGAGTCTAAGAAAGGGAAACCCGAAAAAAGTTGCCGGAAATAGAAGGGAAGTGGCAACCATGGCTAGAAAGAGCAGCGACGCCGAAAGGCATGAAGTCGAGTTTGTAGCGGTAGAGCTCGTGATGATGACTCTTGGCATGAAGCCTCGAAGAGATCCCCCCCGAGCCCGAAGCCCTAAACCGCCTACACAGACAACCCCTCTAGTACCCTTATAGCCCTCCTTCTAGATCCCTTAAAGGAACCCTCGAAGGAACCTACTACACAGTCTTGGCTCTGGAACAGAACGGTCGTGGGACCGTCAGGAGCCTTCACGGCTGCGAAGCAACTGGAAGCCTTCCTCTGCGGCTCTATGTGCCTATGTAGTGTGTGTGTGTGTGTATATATATATATATGTATGTATATGTATATATATATATACACACACACTTAAGCCTTTTTTTGGGGGTTCCCATAAAGATCCATAAAGGCACTTTAAAGCCTAAGTACTTGCTACCATGGGTACACGGAGCCTTAGGATTCAACCCGAAGATTTTCGGTTTAGGGCTTGGGGATCTAGGGGTTTAGGGTTGATCTTCAGGTGGTTTTGGAGGCTTGCTTTGGAAACTGTCTTGCAAAGTGTTTCTGAAGTGCTAAAGGCTTGTTGTTCGGTTTTGTTTTTGCAGGGCCTGTTCTCTCCGCCCAGGGTCTGGGTTTGTGGGTTCAGCTTGTCGGCGTAACGATTTGAGCACGAGCCAGACATATGTACTGTAGTAACAGGGTGTGTCTGAGCAGAAGCACACTCAGCAACCGGTATCAGCTAGACAGACCATCAAGGTTATCTTGACTTGGCTGCAGATCTTGCGTGGCACCTGCATTGTAGCTGCGTGCTACATCTATATTCCCTTTCCCTTCTGCTCGGGAGCACCTACCGAAACCATGAATGGTCCGCAGGCAGGAGTCACCGCCTGACTGGGTCTTACAAGCTTGCGCAAAGAACAGCAGAGGCATGACAATGTGCAGGAATTATGTTGCCTAGATTGAACTAGCCACCGGCTATGCGTCGAAGGGGAGACATGACGAAGAAACGCTCCTGCTTCTGCAATCAAGTTCACGTTGCCAAAACACTTGAGATCTCTACATGCCAGTTGCTGATCCTAAGATTCAAGCCCGGATCGATGAAGTTTTGAGGCATGACCCCTCCCACCGGGCGCAGAATCTTAGTGGCTAGGGGTTTCGACTCGCACACTCGCACCAGGCAGGCAAGGCTCACCATTCCGTCACGCTAGGGGTTTAGAGCTTAGGGTTCAGGGGACCCGAATCCGGCTTTTTTTGCCCGTGGCTGCAGCCGCTTGGCACCTGATCGCGGACTTCGGTGTTCTCCGTTCAAGTTTCTGTCGGACCTAGGGTTACAAGCCTGCAGCAAGTTCTAGTATTGTAACCCATCTTTGAAGCAGTGGACTCGGTGAATGCCAGCACAGATGACGATTGCATGTTTATGAAGCGAAAGGACTTGGTATCACTGAAAGGATGACTTGCACAGCACGCGTTGCAAACGCATCAGGTACGACTCCAAATTGCATCAAATAGCTAGCGGAAACATTATCCTATATTCTACTAGGTTATCCCGTTTTGCGAGATTACAGCCATATTATGCTGGATGTTACTACATTATACGATGTCCTTCTAAAGTATACGATAGGATATCATGTTATATTACATTGTACCATACTAGTCTACAGTTTCTGGGGGTCAGACGGGGGCGGACACGAATCTAGAATCAACATGCCATGACCTGCAGGCCTCAAGTCCGTGTTTTCAAGAGGAGGCGGCTGAATTGATAAGGCAAACACATCCAGTTTCGAGATTCAGATTTAAGCTTTGGGGTTAAAGGTTGTAGGTTTTTGGTTTGAACCATGACCTTGACTTAGTAGCTGTCTGCCAATTCGAGCATAGCTGCAATCGATCATTGCCGTGTCGAGAAGCTCCTGGGCACAAAATATACTCTGAGGTTGGAATCTCTACAGGACTATTAAAATTATGGTGTTTGTTGGAGAAGTAGAACTCTTTCTACAACGAAGACACAGACGAGCCAAACCCGACTTGATGTCTTAAGCTTGTATAGCGTTTTGGGGTCGTTTGCCTTGCGATCCCGTCGATGAAGCCGGCACCTCGAAGCCACCATCATCAAGCACAGGGCTTAGGATTCAGGGCTACAGAGTTCAACTTCCAATCTGAGTGAACCCAAAGGCCCCAAGTTTTGTTCATTGTGCCTACTGGGGCGCTAGAGGTTTGATTGCAGCACCTTCTTCTTGAGAAAAAGCAGTAGTTTTAGGAAAAGGAAACCCTAATGAAGACGAAAAATAAAGCATTACCATGTCGGGAGCTCTACGTAGAGTCCGGAGGGCACTTTAAGCCACCTCATTTGGAGCCCTTTATTGTCCGAGAGACTTTAAGCTTGCCGCCTGGAGTCCTAAATCCCTAAACCCTGAACCGCTAAACCCAAAACCCCCGATAACAGGCTGTGATCGACCACAACGAATCCTAAATGCTACAAATCGAGACCCAACTCCATGCCCTTCAACGAGCCTGAACAGTCTGTATCCGTGATCGTCTAGCAAAACAAACACTGTGCATGAACAAAGGGCTCATGCATTGTGTTTTGGGGCATTCTGTACCCAAACTACAAGACAATGTCTCGAGGCTGCTACATGCCATTCAGCAGACTTGCTTTTGACAAGCCTGGGCCCTCCCGAACGATGCATGGACTGATGTCACCACCCAGAACCCGAAAAAANNAAAAAAAAAAAAAAAAAACAAGACCTGGAATTCCATGCAACACATACAAATGTAGCTCTTCGGCAGTCTAATCACTTGGCAGCTTGCAGGGGCAGTGGCCCCGACCTTGAAGCCGAAACTCCCGACCCCTAAAGAACCCCCAACCCTCAACCCTAGGCCCCAAGCCTGAAACTCTAAACCCCTTTTTTTTTAACCGTCTTGACGCTGTCTCCGAAAAACCCTAGCAGCCTAAAGCTCTTGATTCAAGCCTACACCCTGCGAGCGCTCAACCCGACAATTGAGAAGCTCCAGAGATCCCGCAAACAACAGGGCTGTACGTTTAAGGTTTAGGATTTGGGGTTTANNGTTTAGGGTTTAGGGTTTTGACACAACAGTCGGGTTTTGGTGGACATTATAGAGCAGCAGGAACTAGGGGACACTGTCAGCAGTATCAGGTCGCTCGTCTGCAACCAGAGAATCGAAGCTTCGCCGGGCAGGCTTTGCACATCCCAGCTCTCCACCTTGCGGGGAAATTCTGATTCGAGGGTTTCATGCCTCTCTGGCGCCCCATATGAGCTTCAATGGAAGTTTAGGGGCCGTTGGGGCATTCAGGGTGGAGTAACCTTTTTCGCCTCCGCCTTAGAATCTAAAAACGAGCATAAGGTTGTAGGGTTCACCGGCTCAGCTTCTCATCCTGCCTCCTGCACACTGCTCTCCCCTCCCAGCACAGCGCTAGACGGCCTCCTTGCCCAAATTAGGGTTTCGTTTTGGGGCTTGGGGTCATCTGACAACCCCGGAACCCCTAAACTTTGAGACCCGAAACCCTTAAATCCTAAACCCACAGCCCCAAACCCTAAACCTCAAGAAGACAGTCGAGCAAAGGCCTGAAGCATCTCGTGCGCCGTGGGCCGCGAGATCTCGGATCACTCACAACCAAAATTAGACGAGGGGCCTCTGCTGATTAGAGTAGGCTTCCGAGTTTGTTGTAGCATACCGGTACGAGGGACTTGAGGGGAATTCTGATCACAACTCATACGAAAATATTTTATATTGTATTATGTTGTACTATGCTATATGGTGTTTTTATGTATACTATATTATAGCGGGTTAAACTGTCTTAGTCTACATGCTGCGACAACTGATAGTAGTTCATAATGTAGTGTATCATGCTATACCATATTTTGCTTGATTGTCCAATCCATTTCAGTTCGTTGCATGCCAGTAGAACCCAGTATGTGCTGTCGTGCTATGTCGTACCAAACTACATTATATCATGTGTTGGTCTACCGTATTTTGTCGTATCTTATATGTGTACATATGTAGAAGTGCATACATACATACATACATACATACATACATGCGTACAGGCATACATGCATAAATACTTACTTGCATGCATACATGCATACATGCATACACATACACATGCACATACACAAACACATACACTTACGCGTGTGTGTGTGTGTGTTTGCTTGTGTATGCCTGAACATATACATACACAACGAATATAACTACAAGTATACACATATGTATGAATGCACATCTTAACATTTGTCAAGCATGTACCTGAATAAAAGTAAACAAATCAATAAATAAACAAACAATTTCGATACAAGCATAAAGTAGAAAAATGAAAAATGAACTAACATGAACATGATTATTCACATTTGTTTTTGATATCAACATGCATAGACAAATAAACAATTACACATACATACATACACAATCATGCTGTGGGCATCTAGAAGTTCCCGCGAGTTGGGTGCCGGGTGCAGAAAAGCTCTCTACAAGTAGCTAATGTGTTGGCTGTATTGAGAAGCGAAACGTTTATGTGTTCAACTTCGGGTATTTATTTCTCAAATGATCGGAACACCAAAAAAACACAAGTAGCACATCCTAACACATCTCTGTGGCTGTAACCTGTAGGCATCAAGTTGAACTGCTGCTGTATCTAACAAAGACACCATCCTGCCACAATACTAGTGACCTTTTCACTAAGGTAACCTACACCCGAGGGTCATAAACCAGTCCGACGGCAACACGCGCACAGGCTGCGGTTACGGAAGAAGTCCGACCGTCCAGAGCCAAATGGAGGCAGGCAGCAGGGCTGGTCGGAAGACCACTGGGCGCCGGCTCAATAACCTTCTTGCTTGGGCATGTAGGCTTTTGCCTTTCGAGGTCGGTCCGTCTGTTCGGACTGTTGGTTGAAATTGCAGGCAAGCTTTGAAACAGGTCCGCTAACACCTTCATAGGCCTCCCCTATGAGACGGCATGCCAGCATCACTGGAGACTCAGAAATCTTAGTCACCCATGCGAATTGAAAAAAGCATCCGCTATCAGGTGAGTCGGTGGCGTGCTTCAGTGATCTTTATTGGCCAAGAGACACCGGCTTCAACCTCTCGTAAAAGCCTGTATGCTTCCGTGCTGTGTCACTCCACGCGAGCCGAGGCGCTGAAACTTGTGTGTCGTGCCGTTCATCCGCAGCCTGTTGGGGAGGGTTCAGCTTAAATGCACAGATTCAGGTTAGGGTACGATGCCGGACGGAAAGGCTGGCAGATATGCCGATACAGAGGGTTCTGGAGGATGCATGCCGAGCTGCCTATTTCTAGGTATGCCAAATTCTGCACTTACACACTTTGCAAAACCCCCAAGCCTGACTTTTGCAACCACTACCTCGGCTTTGCAAGCCTTCGCAGAAAAGGGCCACCAGCTAAACCACGCACGCAAGGAGGCCCACTCCTGACAGCAAGTACAGCATCTCCTAATAATCGCGCTAGTCGTGGTAGTCGGCGGGTGGTTCCGATGAGGTGGAATCCGACTCTGAGATACCTAGCTATGATTTGGCTGAGGGGCACTCATAATTGTTGGACAAAGCTGGTGTTGACAAGCTTAAAGCATCAGCCAGGGGCGACAAAGACCAGCAAATGCAAGCACCCTGAACACCAATGAAAATCCGGTCCCATGGGGAACACAGCCGCAGAGCAAGCTTAAAGGCTACGTCATACACCACAGCAGTTGAGTCCCTCAGACACACAGTTGCGCTCGGGAGGCAGAGCACAGACGTGGCTGTCTGTTCTCATGATTTAGGGTTTGGGGTTCTAGAGCTACTGCTTTCAAGACGAAGGTATGCGGGGCGAAGAATGGTAGCCCCCAGTGATCCGAGCTTCCCTTTCGAAGGGCACAAGCCCTGGCATGCAATCGTTGTCGGGCGCTGCTTAATCTAACAGCTATAGGTGAATGATCAGCCGTAGATCTTTGACAACCCTATCCAGCTAGAGAAACACAAGCAGATGGCCAGATACGCAGGAAGCGAAGAAAACTCATGAAGAGTTCCAGGGCTTCTTGCCAATGACCCGGAGCCAAGTGTAAACAGCAAATGTGAGGGAAGCTGCCCACAGCCTTCTTGCTCTTGGCTGCCGGTTGATGCCTAAGTCTTTATTGACTGCGCCAGCGCAGAGGCTGCCCTACGTAAGCTACTATCGACCAGTATAGCATGTGCAAACGTGTGAGCGAACTGGATCTCGAAATCCGGCGACTGCAAGACGAGGCGGTGGAGCCAACGGTCTTCGAAGAAAGCAGCCTTTGCTCATACGAGTCCCATGTCAATGAGCCTGCCGTCAATCCAAACACCCAACTCAGCCCTTGCATCAACTCAGCACACGCTTCTACAGCTGCCAGCCTCAGCAACAAATCAAACTAATCAATGCACTTCGAAGGTTTCTGGCAAATCAGCTACCCTGGACCGTGTGAGGTTTATAAACCCTACAGTGCCTACAGGATTTATGAGCCCTAGAACAAACCTTGACCATCCAGGGTGCATAAACCCTATGATGAGGGTTTGTAAACCCTGAAACCTATATAAACCCCACATCCCCCCCCCCGGCACCGTAAACCACATGAGGTTTCAGGGTGTACTTCAAACTGTCGCCGAATGAGCGCTAGAGGGCCAAAGTCTTTCTCAGCTGCTCGAAGGCCACGGCAGGTGGCCCTGGCGCTGCATCCTGCCGGCAATACAAAATAAAGGCAGGGATCTACGTACATAGTTAAGTATAGAGAGAGACAGAGAGAGAGAGAGAGAGAGAGAGAGAGAGAGAGAGAGAGAGAGAGGGGGAGAGAGGGAGAGAGAGCGAGAGAACAAATCTGAACTTGTTAAACTGAAGTGTGTAGATATATACATATACAGCCTCAAGTTCTGCATGAAAACGTCTGCCTCATTTCATGTGCCTCGCGAAAGCGTACTAAATTGGGGTTCACCTTGTCACCCTCATTTTAGAAACCGTTAGCCGGAGTTTCAATGGGCGGCACTGGGATCCGAACTTTGTCGGCCAGCAGACGAGGCCAAGAGCTTGGAATGCAAAGCTTGCGAGGGCTTAGTAACTTAGAGGGTTTAGGGCTCAGGATTTCCAGCCCGTGGTTTCCAAAGTAGGGGTCGCAATGAATCAATCGCAGAGCAGGGCTGCCAACAGAAGCCGGCCGCGATCTACCACTGCGTGCCCACCTATCTATGTGCATGTCGGTTTTATATGCATGCATATCCACATGCACATGCATGCAGACATACATACATATACACATACGTAGGTGCATGCATGAGATGTTCGGCAGCATATATACACGTATGCGTGTAACATGTGCACGAAGACAGTTATCTGTTCACTGACAGTCTGTTGTGCTTTTCTTCTACCTGACAGTACACGGGCCTCGATGCGCAGGGCCTTGTGCCTGGAGCCAACCAAGCACAGAGAGTGACATGCAAGATTCCTCTAAGGACCTGAACCCTAACCCTCCCCCCCTCCCTCCCTCCCCCCACAGAGTCACAGGCATGCGTTTTTTGCGGCTTCTTCCCTGATGACCCGAGCCCTCAACGTGGATGTCCTGGGGAGCAAGCTCCAGTTCAGTGAGGAAACCTGACCACTCGACTCTGGGTTGGTGACTTGAGCTTTGAGATCATAGGCTTTAGGTTTAGACGTAGGCTTCATAGGGTTTCGGTTGAGGTTTACGGTTTAGGATGTATCCTCGGGCTTTGGGTTTCTACTCTGTCAACACAAGGCAGGCAAGGGTCACTCTGACCCACTACACTGGAAGACAATGGAGATCCACATCAATAATGAAGCGTATTCATCAGGACTTAGGGTTGCCCCAGACCCCTAATCTGAAACCGTAGACCTTGAACCGTTTCTGCGACTCCTGCCATTCCAGGCAGGGCAAGTGGTGACCAAAGTCGAGTGCCCAGAGTTGAATTGACTGGCTCACAAGGGAAGGGCTACTAGCAGCGACATAGAACACGGCACCCTTTCCCCTCACGAAGTACCTGAGCTGGTTCTAGAACAAAAACAGCCCTCAAGGGCTCGTAGCGTTAACCGTTTCTCCTCAGGTTGGTCGAGTTTAGTGCAGGCAACAACTGGTTGAAGTCCTTCAATCGAAGACGGATGTTCCCTACACCCTAGCCTACACCAAACCCGAATCCCTAAACCCTACGCCCTTTTTTTTTGCAGCAGGCCTCGAAACCCTACGCCCTAACCTCTAAACCTCAATGGATCTACTTCAGTTCTGCCATGTCCCGCCTTCGGATGAGAGGCTGATGCTGCAGTCCTTGCGAGATTCCGAGGGCTTGGGCTAGGGTCCCTATTAAAGGGTTCGTATAAAGAATCAGCAACAAGGGTTCTGCGGCCCCTAATCTCCCTTCACCAATTATTGCGACCCCTGGACTATTTGCTTGCAGCTCTGCCCAAATCTAAGTATACTGTGACACCTGCTGCAATCTTGCAATGGTTATCTATGAACAGTCTCCTTAACTGGGAATTTGAGACAGGAAGTTAGTGTTGAAACCTGTGCAACCGACGCTTCGAACGCGGATTCTTGATGTTACCAAGGGTACAATGACAGCCAGGCTTCTGCCAGGCGATGTTATGTGACAATGCCCTGTATAAACAAAAGCGCATCGTAGCGCAGAAGCTAAACCAAACCGAAAAACACCGAGAACCAGACAAGACTTCCGAGGGCACAAGTACCCAAACTCTCCAATAACATGTGCCCATTCACATGGCCACGGACATTATCAGATTGAAAGCAGGAATCCTGAACCCAATCTCCTGGACAGCTTCAGGCTTTCGCGATGTTGCGCCCTCGCAGTTCGGACAAGCCAGAACGGTTTGGTTTTTGGATACCCCAAAAACTATAAACACGATGCTACGGCGTGCGCCGACGGTGTGTCCAAAGGGGTCCTCACCATCGGCGAGCTGCGCAGTCGAGGCGTCCTGCTTGAGGATTCGTAGATAGAGCTGTGGCTGAAAAGGATTGCTGGTTCAACGTTACTAACGGGATTGGGAACCTTATGTTGCTCTGCCTCGGTCTATGTCAGCGTACATTGTTTGTCTTGGCACTTTCTTGCTTTCTAGAGGCTAAGCAGAGGCTCTACACTCCACGTCGTACGTCCAGGGCAGTCTCGCGTCCTATAGAGATGCACACACGAATGCAACACCGTCGCGTGTATGCTTCGTCTTGGTTGCTCTCTGTATAGCATAACATAACCGCGCTCCGAACAGGCATTCATAGTGTGTCATACTCATGTCATAGCACTTCAATACCACAGCATGTCAAAGCATAGCATCACATAGCGCAGCATGTCATGATCACCATCATGATCACAATCAGACCGACATTTTTACGACAAAGTCAGCCGCAGCATATCGGAACACATCATGATCATAGGCGTAGCCATGTGCATTTGTAGCATGGAAGGTCTGATCGTGCCATAGGGTGACGAAACATGACATGACACAGCCTCTTTAACCTATGTCCTATGAAAACATGTATATGATGTACTATATCCTTTTCACATGATAAGCTTGATAAGGACAGTACTATCTTCTCCAGAGAAACATGCACGGACGAACAAACAAAACAGTGCAGACGTACTTGTAGGACTCTTGTAGGCGTACATAGCTTTCTACACAGAAATGAGCTCATGGCCCAGGCTCGCCATCGGCGGGCTTGAAATCCGAATGTGCAGGCGCGAACAGAAAGAAGATGTTGGAGATGGCCCATCTAAAGCCGAACCGTTCCACGCTCGATAGTAAGGACAACATGCTCTGACGTCTGATGCTATGGAACCAGGTAGCCTGCATAATGGCGCATCAGGTTGCAGACTCAACCGGGAGCTTCTCCGTTTTAGGGAAACAGTTTTTATAGAGGTCTTTTAAAAGTACTCTTTGGGATCTATACTTCCGTGCTTTGTTGAGGGTGTCGTGTGTACGGCCTCCTTTCTGTACCTCAGAAATTTGGACCACGAGCCCCTCGATCCCAGAGCCGTCTGAGAATCTTGGGCCTGGGTGGTGGCGATGAGGTTCAGGGCATCCTGCCACCAGAGAGGGAATTCAGAAAAAGAGCTCTTGGAAGGGCATTAAACAGAGCTCTTACAATCGGGTTAATGAAAGGTTTATAATAAGGAGCGTTTCAAAAAGCAGGGGTACCTTGATTTAGGGGTCCCTGTGTTAAGGTAAAGATGCACATGTCCACATTGACCCTGCTTCTCCTTTCTGCACCATAGCTCAGAGAATCTGAAACCCAAGCGAGTCCTCAAGCCGCCAGCGGCAGCCGACTTCCTGCGAAGTCGCACTCATTTCGGCTGGGTTTGCCGGGCGTGCGTGCGTCTGAGGATTGAATGTTTTGTACCCCTTCACTTCGACACAATGCCGATCTCGTCATTGCTGTTTGCGGCTTGTCGAACGGCAGCTCATGCTGTTGCTGCGCAACGCCCCGAGTGTCAACATCCAATAATTAAAGATCCAAAAAAGAAATTAGAATTGAAATTAAGGCTTGGAGCCAGGGCTTGGGGTGTTTGGCCTTTGTGAGGGTCGAGAGACCAAGGAGCGGACTCCATCCCGGTCTCTGCGGCCCCGTGCCGATGACTGCAATGCACTGCAGTTCCGTCCCTTCAATCCTCAGTAACTCGAAACGTCCCTTTGACAGCCCAGATCCTTCCATCCTGAATGATGCCCGAACATGGTACAGTAGCCACTGTAGAAACCCAGCAAGTGGAATCCCTAAACTTGATGCATCAGTCCTAAACAAGCCCTAAAACCTACCCCGCCTTGTGAAGAAAGCCTTTGATGACCTGGCTCCAGGAGCTCCCACGTGTGCATGCAGCTTATAGGTCACAAAACTGTTGTCCATCGACAACGTACGTCCGGGCATATGCAGGCACGATGACATTTACTTGTGCTCAAGTAAGTATATGCAAGTTCGTGCCCCATCTGTCTGTCCCCACATGCACAACAAAACGAACATGCCTACGGAGCTGATCCAAACTTGCTGCATTTGCGTGCATGTGTCTTGCGACATGTGCAAACACATATATGTCAGCACATATATAGGCACGCAACCATACATACATGCACAGCGTAGGCTTTCCGCGTCTCTTGCTTTTGCTCTGTCTCCCTCCCTGACCCGTCGTCGATTTAGAGAACCGAGATCTCTTGTTCTGCTTGCTCCTCCTGTCATGGTGTCTGACTAGGGGTGGTCATGGTTCAGAGACTCAGGGCTTAGAGCTGGCGTGGTGCCACGATCAGCTTACCAAGCACAGGATCACAGAAACCTCAAGCCCCTCGCTCAACCCAAACCCCTGCATAGCCTTGCTGCATCCCCTAAATCCCGCACAAAAGCCTGGGAAAAAAACCTCTGTTGTAAAATCGAAAGCCCCTTTCATCGTCGCGGTGAGCACCTCCGTCAGGTCTTGCGCCAGGCGTGGCAAAGGAGGTGCAGGTTGCTGGCCTTAGAACCGGCCGCCTTTGGATGCTTCGGTTCTACATATGCAAAAACAAGTAAATGCCAAATGCATCCATCCGTCCATCCAACCATCCAGCCAACCATCCATCCATCAATGCATGTGCATGCATGCATGCATACATACATTACATACATGCATGCATGTATATATATATATATAGATAAACAGATAGGTATGAGCAAGTATGTAACCTGCCTACGCTGTGCACTGCAGATGGAGAACCGGGCATGGAAGCTGGGACAGACATGCACGCAATACAATGCTGCAGTTTCAGCTCGTTCCGGCTGTTTGTCCTGAACCCTAAACCCTTTGTACTAAACTCTCAGCTGCTGTGCCGCCAGGATCATTTCCGTCTACTCGCATCGTGGACGACAACTTTCCGAGAGAAGCTTCCTGCAAATATCTGTTTATGTGCATGCGACTGCTCCAAGCGGTCACGAGCTTCACTTCCGCCTGAGTGGGGTAACTTTACCAAAGCGAAAGCATCAGTGAGGATTGGACGTTTCAGGCTTTTTGCTTATTGTGGTTCGTCTCCTTTGAGTGCGCGAGTTGTAGGGCCTCCAAACATCAAGAAGGTCTTCCAACAACCCGCGTTTGTCTTAATCAGACAAAGTCCTCAGAGGGCATCAACCCAAAGCTCTGTTGCGGCTTCCAGGCTGTACTGTTGAAGCTTGGTTGTATGCAGATGGCTTTCTTTGGCCGAGATCTATCGCTCCGTGTGCTTGCAGCCTGTCAGCAACCCACTCTGAAGGAGTTCAATACCGAACTACCGTCTGTTTCTGCTCCAAGAAGCAGATGGCCATGGCCAGTTCCAGCATACTGCCTCGCAGTACACCAAATGAACGGGCTATTTCTTGATATTAAGGGCGTCTCATTTCAGAGGTTCTTTTCAATGCAGCTACCACTGTGTGGGATATTAATATTCTTCTACCGAAATCCAATCCTGGGCAACCAAGCGTATGACACCGAAGCCAAGGTGGCATCGCTACTTTAGGTGGAAAGCCAGCCGCCTCCGGAAAAGGGCCGAGACAAGCTAGCCAACTCGAACAGCACCACACCTCAGTAAGGTATCGCGCGCACGCGCAGGGTAGGCCTTGAGCCTGCAGGTTAGTCAAGATGCGACTTGATGTGCTCCTTGAATCCATGCCCGCATGTCTACTGCGTCACCAAGCGTGTAAGCTTTACCTGTGCAGGACCCTCAAACCGAAGCTTGCGCCACAGATTGCGCATCCAACCCTCATTCAAAAGTCTTCGTTGCCACGGTCCTCTAAGCCTTAGAACAGGATCTTGCCATGAAGCCGGCACAGGCTGCCATGCAGACCTCCGAAACATATATTGCGTCCAAGGACCAAAAGCCCAGCAGTCGGCCGGAGATGCGTAGGGCCTCAAGTGTGATCTAGCATCGTCCCTTTTTTAAATCATCTATGCAGTTGGATCGACCACCGCTTTCTCGCCGGTCCCAAGCGTTTGCTATTACCAACTGATGAATCAAGAAGTATACTAGTTATTACGAACACTGATCTTGCCACTACTCCTGCCCGTACCACAGCCTAATCTGCCAGTTCCTACTCCTACTTCTACTCCGACTCC